CACTGAAAAATTTCTCTGGTCACAACCTAACACTGAAAGTCCAGGGCACTTGTTGACATAATTGGATCTTGCAATTTGACGATAAAGGAAATATTTCCAAAACATAAAATATCTAATTTCTGTGTAAATATTGTCATTCAGTCAGAATTAGTTAACACAATGAGTTATTGACTCCGATTCAACAATCATTAATAACAGCTCACAGCTCCTTCCCTTCCATTATCAGCCCAATTCCCATTCTATATCAGTGTGTACTTATTTTGGTTGATTTGTGTTAAATTTCACACCCGAAAACAAACATGAACTTATAACTCTAAAGCTAGGTGGAAGCAAAAAAGAAAAAAGAAAAGATCCGAGTTGGATTGTGATACCTGTATCATTGTTTGGTCTTTATTTGTTCCTTAAATGTTTGATTTTTTCCCTTCTTTTCAAAATTTGAAAATTCTTAGAAAATAATAATCTTAACTGCCAAATATGACTGCTGGCCATTTTTTATTCACTGATTAGTGTTTAAATTCACAGGTAATAACTAGGGACCAAGGAGAATCGATATAAAGTTTGTGAAATATCCTTCCAGTTCTTCTCAAGAAATAGGGAAACAAACTTTCAGCCAAAATTCAAGATGGCCATCTGACAGGCATTTTGTCTTCCTGATCAAACTCAAAATCAAATGAGCACAACATGAGACTAAGGGGAACTTACAATCAAGTTTGGGAAATATCCTCCCAGTACTTCTCAAGAAATAATGATTAATAAACTTTAAATGTCAAAATCCAAGATGGCCATCTGTCTGCAATTTTGTTTTCCTGATCAAACTCAAAATAGAACAAGCTAGAAACCAAGGGAAATTAACACCAATTGCGGAAGTATCCTTTTTGTGCTTCTCAAAAAATACTGATAACAAATTTCAACTTTCAAAATACAAGATGAACATCTTTGGGCCATTGTTTTTTCCTGATCGGTCTCAAAATTGAATTGGCACCACAAGGGACTAAGGGAAATTTACATATGAAGTTTGTATAATATCCCTCAAGTAGTTCTCAAAGAATAGCAATAACAAACATTGACTGTCAAAATCCAAGATGGCTGCCTATCAGCTATTTTGTTTTACTGATCAGTTCAAAATTAAAAGGGATAAACTTAGGACCATTTGAAATACAGAAATTCAGTTTAAGAATATCTTTCTTATCTTTCTCAAGAAATAGTGATAAGGACCTTAAGCTATCAAAATCCAAGATGGTTATCTCTGTGTAATTTTGTTTCACTGATCAGGCTAAAAATTGAATGGGCTAAACTTACACACAAAGTTAAAAAAAGAAATCCTAATTTTTTCTCAGGAAATGGTGCAATTTGGACAACCTACCATCTGATGACGGTGTGCTAAGAATTCAAAAAACATGTCTGTACATTAATCTTCCATTCCTCACAAGTTTAGAATATTCCAAACTAGCTAAAATGTAGCTCTTTCTTCAACTTCACTCAGTTATGTGTTATTCCATAGAAACCAGAGCATATATGGAATGTTTAATTACATTACAAGTATGTGAAACATCTAGTTTAGACCAAAACTGTAAAGGGAGCACTTCTTTTTCTTTTAACATTGCATGTTTTGACAACACACAGAAAGGCATCCCCAACAGGTGCCTTGAGTTATGGACCCTACAATGCACCTGTCTGGCCCTCCCCATGCTGAGCAATACCAGACTTATTTCTGTGTCACTCCCTCCCACAAAGACACTACTTCCAACTTTTTGCTCTCCTCCATCTGTATCAACACTCCCAGCCTTAGCAACCTTGACTTAACAACCAAGCAAAACATTTACAAAATTGCTTCTCATTTCACATAATATTATAGAAGCTAACTAGGAAAAAACGTTTTTTAATAGTCCAAAAGCTGGTTTTATTATTTGCAAACTTACAAGACAAGGTTTTTTCTCAACTTTTTGAATTTTGTTCATTGTAGAGCTAACCAAACTTTAAATCACAAAATGTCTGGAAGCAATAATCACAGTACTGATTAGTCGTACAAAATTGATGTTGACTTAAATTTTTACTTGAAAAAATATTGTCATTTTATTAAGCTATATCAAAATACGGGTTTGTTAAATGAATGAGATAAAAACTGTTTTTCTTTCTAATAAATAGCCTGAGAAAGATATAAATTGTTTTTAAGATCATTAAGTTGACCATGCTCTGATGATTGAAGTGTGGAACTTAATATGCAGTAAACATTCTATAGAACATCAATGCTTCACAAGACAGAATGTAGAAATATTTGTACAGGGCTAATGTCCCTAACCATGATGTTTTTTCAATAACCTCCTGTGTAAAATGTCATCTGCCATAGGGCTTCCTCTCACACATGGCTTTCATTAGCGTCGTCCCAGGCGTCTCTAACACCTCTTTTTCTCCTGGGATACCCATAACAAACTGGAAATGTTATATCTAAAGGAAAGTGGTGTTTGTTGATTCTAAAACAGCCAATAATTCAACCGGAACATCAACACAAATCTAATATACAGAAAAACAGTCATAACAAGCTCTCAAGTCCTGGTTAATTTTTTTAACCGACACAAAATCTGACGCAAGAAAAATTTGGCTGCGATTTTTCCTGTCATGTTCAACACTAAAGCAGAAAATAACAAAGATGTTTATTATTTGTATACCAGATTTTTTTTTAGAATTTAGCATTCAAATGAAGTCAAAGAGAAATAGGTAGATTGAAATATTCACATATAAAAGATTTGTTTCTCAGCTTCCATTGCTCTTAACAGATAGGATGTATTACTATATACCTACTTTGGTAGTTTGGAAGACCTAATAGCACCAAAAATTTCAAATGCATGTAATTTTTTGACATTCAAAACGAAAATAGATGTATATTTATCCTATTTCAGAGACAAAAGTTGTTAAGACACTAAAACACATATTAACCTATCTTTAAAAAAAAACAGAAAAAAAACGAAACAAATTTTGTTTCCAAATTTACTCCACAGTAGGTCAAATTTAGACCTTTTTTGGTCACAGAGCATACAGGTATCCATGTATAATGTTAATATGAAATGTAAAGTCGTATTAATATTTATTTAAAACTGAATTAAGATTTGATCTGTTGTATCTCAATGTTGAAGTACTGCATATTTAGTAAAAAATTTCATACCAAGACTATCTTACTTGTCCGAAACCATCCCTTCTATCAGAAATTGTTTATTCTTCAAAGCTACGTTATTATTGCTTATGCATATTATAGTAACATTTTACACTTTTAAACAGTAAGCATTATATAAAGAATTATCTTCATTAATTTCATCTGCCTCCACTATATATATTCCAATATGAAAACGACCACTTACTGAAAAACTTCCTCAATTACTGTAAGGATTTCTTACAACAAATGAAAATTTCACTTCCACAATTATCGTTAACAGTCAAAATAAAGTAATTAACTTATATGTCAATTGCCACCAGTAAAAACCCATCATTTAAAAATTGTTATGGTACTAAAGTAAGTAGAAATTTATATCAACAAGTGTTTACATGAATATGCTATATTCCTGAAGTTACATTGTAATCCAGGGAGCAGGGGCCAATAATGCAGGGGGTGAATTTATTACAGGACCCCAGGGGGTCAATATATTACTTCTTTCTTAATGTCAGGGAGTGGTCTTATTACAAGACCCCAGGAAATCAACAAACAAATAAGAAAATGGAGCCAAGACAAACCTTTTCTTCCATGTAGATCAAAGGTCAAACTATAGATCACAATGACCTACTTTTGGTGCGTGACACACTACCTGACCTTGGTGAGCCAATGCCCAAAGTATGACGTTACAGTGACAAAAAGTTAAGAAAATGATGCCAAGACAAACTTTTTCCAGGATATATAGGTCAAAGGTCAAAAAGTAGGTCACAACGTCCAATGTTTGGTCAATGATACACTACTTCACCTGGGTTAACCTATGCCCTTGGAGTGACAAGCAGTTATTGAAATGGAGCCCATTTTTTTTTCTTTGATGTTGGTCAAATGTCAAAAAGTAGGTCACAATTACTACAGTGAAACCTCACCTAATGACCACCTCAAAATTACGATCACTCCGCTATTACAGGCACTTTTTTTTCAGTCCCGTTTTTTTCCACTATATATCTCTGTATTGGTCGCTAAAATCCCTAAAGTGGTCTAAATAGCGATTTTTTTACCGTACTTTTGGTAAATGACACACTGCCTCACCTAAGTAAACATCCTTTCATTGTAAATGACAAGTAGGAAAAATCAATGACATGTTTCAAGACAAATATTGAAGAAAACAAGAGTCAAAGAGTTAAATTTTGATGCGGAAATGTCTATGACAGCCACAATAGGCTACACTACACATTTGTAAAATGCGAAAATATTACGTTAGTTTATGAATTGAATAACAAGGTAATCATGTGATAAATATATATATGGGTGGGCTTATTACCTGACATGGACTTGATGTTTGATAAATATGGTTCTTGACACGTTTTCTGACTTTTTATTTTCAAAGTGAATATCTGAAAAATGAATTTAGAAATTTGTAAAATAATATCATGCAGAAACGTGCAGGAATGTTTACTGAATTTAAACATGATGTTAAACATAATATTCAATTTTTATAATTCAATCAAGTATTAAATTAATTTTAGATGCTCTATTTTTACAGGCGAATCTGTTTTAAATATTCATTGAAGCATATCTTTGCTGATGATGCTGTTCATTCAGTTCACAGTAGGACGCTACAATCACTCTCCATATAGTCCAATCTCATTCTGTCCGAGATATCCGGACAAAGGCACCTATCGCTGTGATAGTAATGTAGAATATCATAATGGATGGTGTGAATTTGTCAGGCAAAACTAACATTGTCAGCTTATCTGTTTAGAAAGTGATTAAGTTACCTGTTGATAATGCAGAGTCATATCACTGTGAAAATTAAACATTTATAATGAAAAGAAGTCATCAGTTTCACATCATTACCCACCTCCATCTTAAACGATAAACAGGCTAATCATATTGTGCTGGTTTTATACTAAGTTATGAGTGAATTACCAGTCATTACCAAAAACTCTTAGCATGAAAGAGCTACATCAAGATTTTAAACGAGACATCGATTCTCTAAAGGTGTCGGGTGTCACCTCCAACTGGGCTGTAACAGTGACCCCAAGTGAGCTAAAGGTGTATCATATCCAAGGGAAACAACTACATGAAGATGTTAGGTTAATGTTTTATGGAGGAGAGATTTAATTCTCAAAATAATAATTCCTGCTGATCTCCTTTTAATCATCATCAAGAAACATAAAAAATGATTCCTGTATGTTTGAGACGCAATGGCAAAATTACTCCGGTTGTATATGAAAATGTAATTCACTAAAAAATGTAATTTTTTCACAAATGATAAACACACTTGACACTTTTAAACTGAACTTATGCATGCATTCCAACCAGTTTAGAGCGACAAAGGACATGAATAAAAACAATCATCGATATGAACCCTCCAGATCAAGAAAACAAAGAGGCCTTGCCATAGGGCCTGTATCACTCACCTGGTTAAGTTCACTGATATTGCTTCATCTAAACTAAATCATTTAAAAGATTTATATCTATTTCCCATATAAGGCCAATCCCTCTGCATCAGGGGGATGTATAATTCATACAAAATTGAGTTTCTTTCACAAAAGGATGTTTCAAACCACTGGCAAAATCTAACCATTCCTACAGAAGGAACAGGATTTTAAAGCAATTGCTGTATTTCATCTATATATTAGGCCCTGCCCCCATCCCCCACATCCACCAGGAAATTGCAACCCATCGTTTATATAAAATTGATTCTTTTTCCTTCAAGAATGCTTCAGATAAAATTGGGACAAAATAGAATTATTTCTACAATGTACATCTTACTGGAGGAGTAAGATTTTAAAGAACTTTCAAAACCATTTAATGCCCTTACAACGGCAAACGTCATATCAGGTTGCATGCTACTATGAGTGGGAAACATGAGCTTATAGAAACAAAGAGTAAGGAATGAAAAAAATGATCTGAAGTGTTGTAAAGGGGCAGCAGATATGTTTATCATTTTCTAGGCTCTCCAGCAGGAGGTGCCCCACAACTGGTCACCTCTTACAACATGCAATGACTTACATCAGGTATATCAAATTTGACCACAATAAACAACAGGTAAAAGAATTCGCTCCCAAATTGATTCCAAATTCCTTACGTTGGCTAAATTGTCCTGTAGGCCTAGACTTACAGCCTGTATTTGCCTGTCCTATTCATTAGATAGCCTAAGTAAGGCTGAATACTTAATTCTTTGAAAAATGATTTGAAGTGAAATAAAATTAAAAAATGAATCACACACACTCAAAAATAAAAGACAACAGAACATGATCAACTCCACATCAAGAAGATGATTTTAATTCAGTGTGAGCATATATACTTCAGAAATGTTGCCCTATGTCTCTCCATTCAGGAGCTGATAATACCTGCTGCAGGGAAGTTTAGCAGACATGCAGAAATATCCATTTAAAGAGGTATTGTTAGCTTTGAGGTACTTAAATATGTAACATTCAGTTTTTAAATTAACCAAATAAACCAGGTACCTAAAAATTGTTTCTGATATCAATATCTTTTGTTTGTGTGAAGTCGTGTATATATTGTATTTATTTTTTTGAATTCTCTTTCTTGTATCTAAAAACGTTGATAAATAAATAAGACTCCACAGATGAAGCTAACAAATCAGTAATGAAGACATGGTAAGTCAGAACTCAGACATGTAAACAAGTGTGGTCCATGAATAAACATGAGTCTGAGGAGAAACAGATCTGACTTATACTGGAGAGTGCCATCTTTACTTTGTTACACCAATGCAAAATGGCAGCCAACCTATGGTTATTATCAACGTATGAACACATACATCCAAGATAACTTATTTTCAAATGATAACTGAAATTTCACTGCATCAAATATTGAAAATAAACCAAAAGAGTAATATGAACCGATTCCTTCATTTTATGTAAAAGACTGAAAAATGTGAATAACATACATATTTAAAAGGTTCCATATTTATTGGCTTCATCGTTCTGTCTTTAATGAATTTGTTTGTTTTTAAACTGTTGTTTTCTTTAATTTCCACAAAAGTTGGCTTAATGAATACCATTTCAGAATTGTGAAAAGAATGAAGAAGTACTTGGATGATTTTAACCCCTTGATGTTAGTGATAGAGGTATGAAACAGCAGACTTTAAGGAAACTAATTAAGTCTAAAAATCCAGGTAACCCCATACCTGTGTATAAACATCAGGTTATAACTATCTCTGGTTACCAAAACATTAAGTTTGTTGCTAAGTGATGGCCTTCATTGCTGGGATGTAAATATCTCTGAGTTTGTTTCAATCTTTAATGATAGCTTTCAAAACAGATCCCTGTTCTCAATTACTTTCATCAAAATAGCAGATTTGAAGTAAATTTCTTTTGAATGAAACTTACAAGAGACATGGAAATCAAAATTTGAATATAAATCCCATATGTAAATACATGGAAATATATGTATCGTAATCAACAGAAAGCAGAACTTATTTTGCTATTTTCACCCTAACTCTCCAATCACAGTTTGCTATAAATTGGTATCAAATTGAATTACACAATTATCAAGTGTTCACAGTTGATCAAAGCCTAAAGGGGAGTAACTCGATTTGTGTATGTTATTTAAGTTTCCGATTTGAAGGGCAGTTTTTTCTATAAAATTGATCGTAATATTAGTAACCACATTGTTTCTATCTAAAGTCAAATGCTTTCAAAATATGGAACAGATTTGTCAACACCATGATATATCCTCAGTTAGGCCAATTAAAAACATGAAATATAACAAGATTCACATTTAAATTAAATGTAGATATAGAAAATCTGGAATATGTTTAGATTGGACAATTTTAGATTGAAAACTTTTCCGTATTATTTTACTTCCCCAGAATTAAAGCTACAGAGGAAGGTCTTGACTTTGAGTAACACCTGTCCGACTAAAAAGTTTTATTTGCAATTTTTGTGAAGGCAAGAACGGTTTTCCTTTTGTGTCATAAGGGAGACAACTGCTATATTGAAGAATCTGTAAAATCGTAACCATGGGCAGTCTTGATCACAACATAAAACCTAAATTCCAAGAAAAGGCATCTAAATAATGTTTATTTTCACGGTCATAAAAAGTATCAATATTCAGAAAAAACGGCTTTTAAAGAGAACAGTTTTTCTCACACAGCTGTTACAGTTGGTTGCCGAGAAAATATCTTAGTAGCACTGCTGCCTGGAGCGTTTTAGAGTACAGATGCCTGGTGCATTTTTGACTACAGCAGATTTTTGGTTGCAAATGCGGCATTTTTAGAAAGCAGATGACGTGCACTGGACCAACGATTGTGAAATGATCGAATAGTTTTTTGAAAAAGAAACTTTTACTGTATATTCTTCAGAGTAAAAATTGCAGGTTTGTTCGTTTGGCGAGATATCTTACACCACACACTCTCATATTATGCGGCGAATGCTTAAATTATATCAATGACGCTGATTAGGATTGAAATAGAATAAACTTGTGTTTCGTGTGAAAAACAACAAACAGATATGAAGATTATTCTTCTTAAAGGAGACAATGTACATACCAAGTGAATTGAACAAGTTCTGTCATACTGCAAGCTTGTCGACCATGTTTTGCACGTGGACACCGTCCGGATTGATGACGTAATATTAACAGACAAGTGGAGGTTATTCAGGTTACACGCCATCACGACCAATGTATATATATATATATATATTTTTCTTTCTATTTATCTTCTGTTTTACACAAGGAACACGACTTTGGTCGATTTGGTGACAATCTAGTGAAAATAAATAAAAAAAACTAAATAAAAGCTTAGTATTTCAATTCAATACAACGACATTAATTTTCATTATTATTTTTATTATGAGCATTATTATTATACATTACAAATCTATAATGACATTAGTACTTTGATGGCTAAACAAGCACAAAAATAGAATTCTTCACGATGTAGAAACGTAAACCGCACGCACATCAATCTTCCTGAAACAAGCAGTATCTGCTTGGCATTATTTGGTAAACTTTTTGATAACACATTTTCATTTAGTCAGAGATTTAAAATATCTTTCAATTTTGACGTAATCTTTTTATGCAATAACACTAGTCGTGAACTTATTCCGGAGGGGACATTATCAAGATGGCGGAGACGAACCACATCGTCACTGAGAAGCGACTGCCCTTTGACCCCGACCTTATCATCCCTTAGTTTTGTACCATTTTTAGGTTAAACGCACTCAGTACGTATAGCCTATTGCGACGGCCTTTCAGACAAAAACGCCTTCTCATTGGCTGAAACTCTAGCGTAAATAATGTACGATCTTTCATATCGCTATTTTAAAAGCATCCAAAATTAGTTTATTTTTTAGATAACACTACGATTACTATATATTTAAAAAAAGAAGCACAGTGTGGTTGAACTATTGATAAATTTTGAACAATATATTTTACGGAATTCTCGACATGACGTAAGCTTACAGAACACTGTACGTGTGAGTTGATAAGAAGCTAGTCTGGGGGCTTGGTTTGAATGATCAACTAACAGCACATATAAACAAACAAAACTTACAAACAGAACATCAGTTTTTTTTAATCCTTGTCGTTGTGGCAAGATCGTCTTAATATATAACATCACTTTACCTCAGTAGACGTCACCGAATTGGACTGTTCGTCCCACGCGCACACCCGCCGATATGACACTTTTTCAGGTTTTCCACACCAAACGCCATGACACTTTTTCAAGTTTTGGAAGATAAAAGTTTGCGCTTCGTAGGCAAGGTAAATTTGGTGCTCATGATTCATGAATAACATATTTTTGATACTGTACTGATCATGATGTTGACTCAGTTATAACTTATATTTTTTGTCTTTTAGTTTTATTTGATGAAGGTTGATTGTGCTGATTTCTCA